ATGCGAGTGACTCTAGTACTTCTAAAAATGAACTAGTGCCATCTGTCGCAAACATGCATCATGACTTTTCCGACAACCCAATAGTTGTGGAGGGTGCAGCTCCTTGGCCTATGTGGGAATCGAACTGGCAACCTTGGTGTTATGAGCACTGCGCTTTAACCAACTTAGCTAACGGGCTGCCCCCACGAAATGTATTCCTTTTTTTCTTATTTATTTATTTAAATTGGGGAATTGGGGGAGGGGAACAGTGTTGGGGAATTAGGGAAGGGGACCAGCCAAGTTGTTGTCCTTCAATCTTAGTTGTGGAGGGCGCCAGTCACCATCTGGCTGCCCATCAGCAGCTCATGGCCTCTAAGCTCAAGGTGCTGTGTTACAATCTTAGTTGCAGGTGGGCGTAGCCACCATCCCATGCGGGAGTCAAACAACAATGCCTTGTTGTCAAGAGCACATGCTCTATCCACTGAGCCACCCTGGTGGCAGCTCAGCTTAAGGTGCTGAGTTCAGTTTTAGTTGCTGGAGGGCATAGCCCATCCATCAAACAGGCAGTCTTGTTGTTAGGAGTACGTGCTCTCACCAGCTGAACCATCCTGCCACCTGATGACAACTCAGCGGCAACTCAGCTTGGGCACAGCATCACTGGCCCATGTGGGAATCGTACCGGCAGCCCTGTTGCTCAGAGCTTGCGCTCTTAAGCTAACTCTTAACCAACTGAGCCATTCAGCCAGCCCCATATTTCTTAAATAATAAGACTTGAAAGTTGAAATGATTTCTTGATGAATGGGCTGCAGAATGGATGCCTGTTAGCAGGCATGAAAACATTAATTTCGTTCTCTTGGGTGACCAGGTACATTGTCAGTGAGCAGTAACATTTTGAAAGGAATCTTTTTTTCTGAGCAGCAAGTCTCAACAGTGGGCTTCAAATATTCAGTAAACCATGTTGTAAACAGAAGTACTATCATCCAGGCTTTGTTGTTCCATTTATAGAACACAGGCAGAGTATATTTAGCATAATTCTTAAGGGCCCTAAGATTTTAAAATGGTAAATGAGCACTGGCTTCAATTTAAAATTACCAGCTGCATTAGTCCCTAACAAGAGAGTCAACCTGTCCCTTGAAGTGTTGAAATCAGGCATTGACTTCTCTCTAGCTATGAAAGTCCCAGATGGCATCTTCTTCCAATATAAAGTTGTTTCATCTATAATCAAAAATCTGTTGTTTAGTATATGAAGCCACCTTCATTAATTATCTTACCTAGATCTCTGGATAACTTGCTGCAACTTCTATTGGGTTGTGGGAAAAGTCATGACGCACTTTTGCAACAAAAAACATAGAAAAAAATATGTCATGACTTTTCCGACAACCCAATACATTAGCACTTGCTACTTCACCCTGCACTTTTTGGGGGGTGTGGGGAGTATAGGATAAGTGTTTATAGTCAGAACACCAGTGATCTGAGATGGCAGTAGGTTAACACCTTCAACAATTGCCTTAACAGTCTCAGACCAGCTCAGTGTATTTAAGGGAAAATCTGGGCCTTCCTCCAGAGGCTACGGGACAGTTCTGCTTTATGGAGCCATCCCTCTAGCAACGTGGCTCTCCAGCATCATCAACAACCCAGGAACAATTCACCCTGCACTTTTA